TTTCACGAAATTCGAACTCAGTCGTCCTTAGGGTGTAACCGTGATATAATAATATGATTTTTTTAAATCGGATAATAATTATGACCTCTATAGCATCCACAAGCTAATAATTAAGGAAGTTACGATCCCATATGCGCGAATATCGAAAGGAACCGAGATCTTTGGGTTATAAACTTACATTTCAAGTTTCAACAAATTCGGTTAAAAATTGTGACCTCTATAGGGTCCACAACCTTGATATACCATATTTTTACGCTATTTGAGAACGAACGGCGGCCATTTTGTCTGTCAGTTTTGGGCCGATTTTCACGAAATTCGAACTCAGCCATTCTTATGGTGTAACGGTGATATATTAACACGGTTTTTTAAATCGGATAAAAATTATGACCTCTATAGGGTCCACAAGCCAAAATACGCGTTTTTGCGTACAATCAGGGGCCATAATTCATGAAGTTACGGTCCGATATGCGCAAATATCGAAAGGAACCAAGATCGTTGTGTTATAAACTTACATTTCAAGTTTCAACAAAATCGGATAAAAATTGTAGCCTCTATAGGGTCCACAACCTTGATATACCATATTTTTACGCTATTTGAGAACGAACGGCGGCCATTTTGTCTGTCAGTTTTGGGCCGATTTTCACGAAATTGAACTCAGCCGTCCTTAGGGTGTAACGGTGATATATTAACACGTTTTTTTAAATCGGATAAAAATTATGACCTCTATAGGGTCCACAAGCCAAAAAAACGCGTTTTTGCGTACAATCAGGGGCCATAATTCATGAAGTTACGGTCCGATATGCGCGAATATCGAAAGGAATCAAGATCTTTGTGTTATAAACTTACATTGCAAGTTTCAACAAAATCGGTTAAAATTGTGACCTCTATAGGGTCCACAACCTTGATATACCATATTTTTACGCTATTTGAGAACAAATGGCGGCCATTTTGTCGGTCAGTTTTGGGGCGATTTTCACGAAATTCGAACTCAACCGTCCTTAGGGTTTAACGATGATATAATAACACGGTTTTTTAAATCGGATAAAAAATTATGACCTCTATAGGGTCCACAAGCCAAAAAACGCGTTTGTACGTACAATCAGGGACCATAATTCAGGAAGTTACGGTCCGATATTCGCGAATATCAATAATAACCGAGGTCTTTGGGTTATAAACTTACATTTCAAGTTTCAACAAAATCGGATAAAAATTGTGACCTCTAGAGTATTCACAAGCCAAAAACGTGATTTTTCGTACAATCAGGGGCCATAATCCATGAAGTTATCGAAATATCGAAAGGAACCGAGATCTTAGGGTGATAAACGTATATTTCAAGTTTCATTGAAATCGGATAAAAATTGTGACCTGTAGACTGTTCACAAACAATTGTGGACGGACGGACTTACAGGGGCGACGACAATATACCTCCACATGAAAATGTGGCCGTATAAAAAGCAATAAAGTTAATTTTGTAGATCTCTTGAATAATGATTACCGTCTCACTTGGGGGTTATATTCATATATTAAAACGCCCAATGTAAGTTCGACCTTCACCCTTTGTTAAATAACACATTTTTTTTTCAGTAAGTTATTTTAAACCATAAGTAAACACAATATAAGTTTGATTCAATGTTGAATAGTTAACCAGGATGTATATTAAAGCTGATGTAAATGTGACTCAAATAAGCCCCCCCCCCCTCTCTCTCTCTCTCTCTCTGCAACCCCGACTTTTAAAACACGAAAGTCTTAGTCAAGCGAGCATATTACCAAATCGGCGCCTTACTGGCTTAACGGCGTCACTTAATTACAATCTGGAAACTAGACGGTCTAAATTCGAGTGGTTTATATGGATAGAAGAGAAAACAATCTAGCCAAAACATGAAGACTCTCTTCATTTACCGATGTAAACTGATAAGCCACGGGAGGCATCGGGAACGGGTTCCCCGTCGTTCCAAGAAAGGTTCGGGGTCGTCACGAGCCATGTGGAATCATCGGGGGCCTCGGGAGAACTGCGAAAGTTCTTTCTCGAAGCATCGGCGATGCCTGGCTGAAGTTTCAGGGTTAATTGAATCCGGGATTCTTCGGGGGAAAAATATTTCGCGAGACCTCCAGGGAAGCACCCCAGGAGCTTCCCCGTGGGTCTGAAAATCAGGTCACCTTTTGATTTACTCCAAATAAATATCAAAATTTAGCTTGTCAACACCCACAATTTGTAAAAATACATATAATTTCTTTACTTAAATTAGCCCTTGTTTGACCTTTGTTATTTCCAAAACAAACAGGTGGTTGTATTTGAGGCTTTCGCTGTTCTGCATTATTTTAAAGCAAATTCCAACATAAAAGGGGACTGCGATTAAATTAAATTAAATGGTGAAACTACTGCGAGATTAATCGATGAGAAATAATCACATTTTTAATGTTACACATCCAAAGCAAAAATAAGTGCCGAGGTGTATATCTGGTGTGTGAGGTAGGTGTGTGTGTTGGGGGGGGGGGGGGTCTCAGCCGTTTATTTTCCAGTGTCTGATTTACTGTGGAGGAAATTGTGCGATTGAATAGGGGAACATAGAACTGGGCCACACAATAAGCGACATCGAGGTTTTTGTGATCATAAAATCTGGAGGAAAGTTAATTTAATATCAACACAACCAAATACATATCAGCTCATAGCTGCAGCCTATAACCTGGCAATTGATGGACTGTCCTTTAAACATTTTAAAACTTTGATCAATCGTCTCAAGGATAATTTGTTGGCACCTATCACTATAGTAACAGTAATCGGGCTAAGAAACTCGTGTCGTATACAGCACAGGCTGTCCGCAAAAACAAATAAAAGATATCATAAGTAACTCTAGCTGATATTATCGGATGGATCCCAGGCTCGGAAATCTAGTTATGGCAAGGTAGCGAAACATGTAATTATTATCATTGATTTGATGACACGAATGTCAATGAATCAATACACCAGAAGGTCTTATATTAAGAGCCAAAATACAGATCGAAATGTTGTCGGCCTTGGCTGTGCTTACAGCAAAACCGTGCTGGGAGTAGGCAGGGTAGCCAGAAATAGTTGATAACGCTCGAATCCGATGACATATCTAACGAGAGAGGGGCTATGTGCCCTCTGTTCTGACAAAAGTGCCCTCGAATTTCGAAAAAGTTACCTCAAATGTAAAGCAAATGTCCGCATCAATGTCATCACATGCTCATTGCCCTACAATATTGTGCCCTATTTTCCGACTGTCCTTCCCTTGCTTGAACTCGATCCATGGTACAAAAAGATAATCTCGCTCGATGTACGCACATGCATCATCGACCACACCCCGCTGCAGGTTGGCTCTCATCCTCAGTGGGACAGGAAAATAGTCAACGTTGCTGGTGATCGATTGATTTTGGCTGGTATCCAATCACTCAACTAAGTGTCAAGGAATGGCATCCCATGACTCAGATATACATCAAATAGACTCAAGCATTTGCCACAGAACCAAATATATATTCAGCGCTGATAGAACACGGCCCCCACCCGAAGGTGTCCTACGATTAGTCTGCCTTGCATTTAGATGGTCTGCATTTATTGCAGACACGTCCTTAAACATGGTAATAAACATTACCCGTGTAGTATCTCTCAAATTAAAAGAAAGTCCAGTTAAAAAATTCAACCACTTTTGCGTTTTCAATTTGAACATCAAATCGTAAGCTAGCTGTCTGTAAATGAGAGTCATGCTAACGTTAACGTCAGACAGCATATTGTTCATATGCCTTGGCCAGCCATGAGTCCTGACCTTTCCCCTAAAGCGCATGTCTGGAATATGATCGGGAGACGAGGTTGTCGACGTCAACGTCAACCGACAACACTGCAAGAATTTGCCGTGGCACTGCAAGAGGAGTGGATCAGATTGCCCAAAATCGTGATTGGACGGTTGATCAGGAGAATGCCACGACGAATTGCTGAATGTCTGAGGATTGGTGGAGCAATTACTCATTATTGAGACAAAAATCAAAAACGTCCATTTTCACTTTTGACAGTGTATCTCTTTGCGAGTGAAATGGGGCCGTCAGATAAGCCGCCCATATGTAGGCAATTGGCCTGTTATTAACATACACTTGTTACCTCTAATAAAAACAGCAGTGCATTTCCGCAGTTTTGTATTGTTTCTGAATATCCCCTACTTTTTTTGAAGAGTATATATATAAAGCCTATCTCTGAAATATCTTCATAAAAGATATCTGAACACCTTCATATGTAAATCCCGAATAACGAGGTGAATAACGATGCAGCGCTCAACGTTCTAGAGCACCTTCGGGTCCATGAAGTTCATAAGAAGATCGTAAACAGTTGTTGCTGTGTTCACTCCGTTCGCACATAGTTTGAGTACGTTTGGCAACATTTTCTAGAACGTAGTGGTAACTAATTTGGTGTGATGGGGGCTTTAAGATATCGTGTGTGACCCTTAATATATGCTACGAAATTAGAAAATCAGGTTGGACGGACGGACAGACAGGTTCTACTTTATTATCCCTCACCTTAGCTTCGTTTGGCACAGACAACTAAAAGTTTATGTGAAATGTCCCCATGCAAGTAAGTCCACACATCAGACCCGTAAGGCCATTATGCTAGCAGACATAATATAACTCTTAAAAGAGTTCTATTATGTCTGCTAGCATATTTAACTCTGAATTTCATTGGAAACTGTAAGTCAGGTGCTTGAAGACAAAACGCTTTTAAATGAATTTTTTACATAGATCATAGTAACCGCCACGAGTTAAAGGATACACAATGAAATGTAATGTATTTTGGTTTAACGTCTCACTGCGCTGCTCTGACTGGCTAATGAAGGCGGACATACGCCACAGTGTGCGCTATGAGGGATATTTTAGCCGTACGGTGTTGCTAGGTGCACGGGTACTAGGCTTTGCCTTCCACCAAACGAATATACGTTGTCCCTTGCTAGGTCCTCCGTCATGTACCACTAATAGTCAACTTCGTGATTTTTTTTTTCAAATTTATTTAATATAAAGCATAAAATATGATTATAAAGCAGCTAAATTACAACATCGTGCCTGTTCAGTGACATCGTTATAATTTTGCTATACACGCACGAATACATATAAAACATGATTTATTATCAACACGTAACAGGGTTAAAATTAGATATTATTTGTACATATTGTAACTGACTGGTATGATTAGACCTTGATTGGTACGTGGTTGTAAAATAGTTGAGATGCGTCACTCATGTACAAAAGATGCGATAAAATGTCACCAGAGAATGTGAACAAGAGGCCGGTAAAATTATTTGATGGAAAGATATCAACATAACACATTCGGGTTTCAATAGCTCGGAGATGACTGTAAAAAAAACCCCAAACCTGGCACGTTGCCTAAAACGTGATTGGAGAAATCCACGGGATTGTGTGCCCCACAACGCAATACATGTAAATGGGCTCTATGAAAAAAATTGTACCTACTTGATTAACAATTATGTTGGGTCTATTTTTCAATATGCTATTTAATTAAAGATACATTATGGAAGATTAGATAAAGAGCTGGCAGTTCTCACTATAATAGTTAAAACCTAGATAATGTAAAGGGAATTTGCTGAAAATTTCAGTCAAATTGATTCACTTTAACCCGAAAATTTAGCGATTGACTTTTCGGTCTAGCCTCGATCATCATTACTAAAGTCGGAACGATAAAAAACATAGTCTCGATTATCAATTTCATGATTAAAACATCAATGGAAGTTGAGCATCAAATCCGATCCTAATCCGATAAATATCGCAGGCTAGCGATGACATCGAGATTTAGCTCTTGCATAAAGTATGTTTAAGGTACCGATGCCCCATTTTAGGCAATAAATGAAATGAAATGGGCTTAACGTCCTACTGTTCTGCTCCGAACTGGGCTAATGAAGACGGGCATACGTCATACAGTGTGCTATGAGGGAAATTTTGCCAGGACAGTGGCACTACGGCCTACTCTTATATCGAAATATAGGTTTATATCCTTAAGATCTCGGTTCCTTTCAATATAGGCATGTATCGGACTGTAACGTCATGGATTATGGCCCCTGATTGTGCGAAACATCACGTTTTTAGCTTGTGCACACTGTAGAGATAACAATTTTTATCCGATTTGGTTTAAACTTGAAATGTATGTTTATAACCCACAGATGTCAGTTACCTTCAATATTCGCGCATATCGGAACATCACTTTCTGAATTATGGCCCCTAATTGTACGAAAAATCGCGTTTTTAGCCATTGGACCCTCTAGAGGTCATAATTTTTTATCTGATTTTAAAAACCGTTTCAATATATCACCGTTGCACCATAATGATGGTTGAGTTTGAATTTCGTAAAATTTGATCGAAACTGCCCGAGAAAATGGTCGCTCCTTGTAAGCAAATTGTGTAAAAGTATGTAATTCGAAGGTTGTGGACCCTCTAGAGATCACAATTTTTATCCGATTTAGATCAAACTTAAAACATATCTTTATATCCTAACGAGCTCCGTCCCTTTTGATATTTGCGCATTTAAGATCATAACTTTCTGGATTATTGCCCCAGATTGTACAAAAAATCCCGGTTTTTTTTAGCTTGTTCTCTATCCATCTCTTGCAAAATGTGGGCGTATCCTGCCTGGCAGCCGCTGTTTTTTTTCTAGCTGTCTATATTTCGTATAAATTAGTCTTGTTAAACCAGTCCGTTAATCAAGAGGTGAACTACTTTCAATCCACGAGCAAGTAATTGTTGCAACCCCAGTTGGGAAGCTAGCAAAGTGGTTCTGGCCCTTCAATTGGCCGGCGTACTAACCTTAAAGCACATTAAGAATCTACAACAGCGGGCCGCGTAAAGGAAATCAGTTTATTTTCCCAGACATTCAATTGACCGTAGCTACGTAGCTCAGAGCAACGAGGGGGGGCGGAAAGTTTTCTCAGGGGTGCTGTAAAATTGACGGATGTATATCTATTTTTTTTTATCGTCGACAATTTTTTAGTTACGGGCCTGTCAGCAAGGAAGGGTATTTATTTTTAAGGTGATTAATGAGAGCCGCGTTAGTTGTATGTATATATTGTATTACTACAACTACCCCGTCTTCATTAATGCGGATGCAGGAGAAAAGTATGACATTAAACCCCATTTCATTTCGCTATAACTATCAATATTATAGCTTTCGAGTTTTATTTTCGAACACCCCAGGGGTCCTGCAAACGTTATAAATATCTTTATGTACATGTTTACAAAAATCGTGAATTTATTTAGAAAGGTGTCAATCTATAACCAAAAGCTTGACGTTGTCAATTCTTGTTTTGTTATTAAATCCCCAAATATATGCCACCAGTAATATTTAAGACAATCTTTGCTTAGTTTCCCCATTTATCGCCATTAAATACACTTAAAATGTTATATTCAAAAGCATTAAAATCGTGAGCACCCTACTAGATTCCCAACCAACGCTATTTCGCTGTTGTTTCAGTTATAATAATCACTTGCTCATGGATTGAAAATTTTCGAGCTAAACCAGTTTGCTTAACGTTGTCCAGCCGATTAAAGGGCTTGATTGACGAAGGTAATTTCATGGGAAACATTAAAAACTGATCAGCAGTAAATATTAACTTGGCCGCCCATACCACTCATCGGGATGACAGCTTTCAATATTAACTCTTTTTTTCTTCTGCAAATTAAAATCTAAAACCATTTTTTAAAACAAGCGGTTGCCATGCAAAATACGCCCACATATTGCAAGAGCTGGACAGAGAACAAGCTTAAAAAATCAGATTTTTCGTACAATCTGGGGCCATAATCCATGAAGTTACAATCTGATATGCGCGAATATCAAATAGAACCGAGATCTATATAAACATATATTTCAAGTTTCATCAAAATCCGACAATAATTGTGATCTCCAGGGGGTCCACAACCTGGGTATTACCATATTTCTGAAGCAATGACCAGAGAAATCCCTCTCTAGTCATTGTTGTACTGAGACTGAAAACTTGAGTTTTTGACAAGTGTGACCATTCTCATCGTCCAATCAAATCTCTCCCGAGTACAGTAAAATGAAGAGAATTTATATGACTGACCGCTTAATCGCATCGGCAAATTTGGCCGTCGTTGAAACTCGCTATTTGAACAAAACTTCTTTGACTCAGTACCAACGAAACACTGCGAGGAATATGTGATATATTTGTAATGTTATTTAACTCGCATAAAAATTGTAACCTCGTAAGGGACCACAAGCTAAAACGCAATTTTTCGTACTATCAGGGGCAATATTCCAGAAAGTTACGATCCGATCTGCGCGAATATCGACAGGATTCGAGATCTTTGGATACATTTACATTTCAAGTTTCATCAAAATCGGTTAACAGGTATTACCTCTAGAGGGTACACAACGTCTATTTGCGTACAAGTAGCAGCCATTTTGTCCGTCAGTTTCGGTCGGAATTTTACGAAATTCGAACTCACCCTTCACTGGGGTGTAACAGTGATATGTTTAAACGATTTTTAAAACTGAATACAAATCGTTACTTCTAGAGGACCCACTTCCGGCAGTTCTGGTTCGATGATATATTCGAACGTTTTTGTTTAAAATCAGATAAAAATTGTGACCTCGTACAATCATGGGCGATAATCCAGGAAGGTACAATCCGAGGTGTCCGTATATCGACAGGAACCGAGATCTGTGGATTATAAACATACATTATAAGTTTCATTAAAAACGTGATTTTTCGTACACTCAGGGGCCATAATCCTTGAAGTTACGGTCCGATACAATGTCATGCCAATTTCGAAAGGAACCGAGATCTGTGGGATATAGACCTATACTTAAAGTTTCATCAAAATCGGATAAAAATTGTGACCTGTAGAGTGTCCATATGAAAATGGGAGCGTATAAAAATAAATAAGGTGTTTGTATAGGCCTATATCTAGCTAAAAACATTTCCTGTTTAGTGTAAATGGGTACATACGAGGGCTGGCTGAAAAGTTCTAAGCCTATCTGCGGAAGACCTGTAAAAAGTGGATGGTTCCATTTATTTTTGTCAGGAAGAAATTCTCTTCTGCCGCCCTAAAAAAATGTCGTTCGTTCAAAACTGACATAACTTCATCTTTACTAGGAAATTGACGACCGGTTGGTTCTTTTTTTATGTTTGGAGATTGTCACGGGGCGTCAAGAATCTGTCACGTTTCTGATCTGCAGTCAAGAGCTTTGGCACCCATCTTGCAGAATCTTTTGTCATTCCTAATTCGTTGGCGATAGTGTGCCCAACCCTCTCATGAGAGATGGCCACATTACTGGCAACATGTCAAGTGGTCAATCGTCGATAACCCATCACTATGTCATGCACCCGGGTAAGGTTTTCTTGAATGGTTCCTGTTGATGGCCTTCCAGGTCGCGGGTCATCATCAAGGCTCTCTCTGTGGAAAAGGAAGGGGCATCATCCCCTAAAGTGGAGACCAATACCATGATCTGTGTTGGGGTTAGTCCTTTCAGTTGCAGATACTTGATGGCTGTCCTATAGCCAGTTTTGTTCATTTCAATGGGAAGGTTCACAAGATGGTCTGGCACGAAGACAGTAATAACACTATGTCTATGATTCATTCAATGATTGTACTTTTTGGTGGCAAAAGTATGTTTCAACCCAATAGATCTATTATATTAGGGCTTAGAACTTTTCAGCCAGCACTCGTAAAAAGGGTCCATTCTGCCCGGACTTAGTCCGATTTAACAACGCACGCGTTATCGACGCCATATTATGAGACGTCACAAGTAGAACTTTACTAGGTGTGACCTTAAAGATGATTCATCTTGTACAGTGGTTACAGGGAGTTTTCGCATTACCACTGTGAAACTGTTTGGAAGCATTATAAACAGCTATGAAAAAAAAAAATCCTAGTTCAAAATAACGTGAATGGAGCAATAATATTTTAATAGTCTTATAACGGTAAAATATATAAATAGTAAAAATCTTGATGACGGTGCGTTTCTACTAAACTAATTGGCCCCGTTCTGAACGACATTGTTGATAGAATAGAAAACTAAAAACTAACAAAACTGACATTTTAAATATTACTGCAATTCAGATTCTTGACATTAGACTTTAGAGATCACAAATTTTATCCGATTTTTATTAAACTTAAATATATGTGTATATCCAGGAGGGGTTCGAATTAGGCGGATATCGAACCGCCTGATTGTACGAAAATTGCGTACATAACTTGTGGACCCTCTAGATCTCGGATGACTTTGATTTTGGTGCGTTCTTGAGTTATGCCCCTGTTTCTGAAAACCTTGTGAACGCGAAAGTGGCTATACTTTTTAGCAGATTCTGGTTGTTGTTTTTTTTAAGTTAGGTGTAAGCATTGGAATCATGAGAGGAGGAACCCTATCGAGAATCTTCTTAGTTACTCTCCCTGTTTCGCAAACCGTGTTAACGAAATAAGAGGCTATAGTTTTGAACGGATTTATTTCAAATTTGGTGTGAAGCATTGGGCTCGTGCGAGAACTAACCCTATCGATATTCAGCGTTCCGCAACGCGAAACCCTTCTGAACGCGATAGGGGATACAGTTTTAAACGAATTTATTTGAAATTGTGTTTGAAGCACTGGAGCCATGAGATAGCAAACCCTATTGATATTTAGCGTATTAAACGTTCCGGATTCCAAAATAATATTATTCAAATTTTTATATTGCCCGGTTGTCAGGTTCGGTATTTGGTACGCTCCCACCGCGTGCTACAAACGTCAAATAATAGTAACCAATAAATTGTAGCTATCCATATCAATAAAACAAATAATATATTATTGATAAAATACACAATATTAAAACTTCTTTAAACATACAATGGGGTCTAATTTTGAGGAGAGTTAATGTCAACATTGTAAACTGGATTTTTAACATCAAACGATTGCGATGCCGGGTAAGAATTTTTCGGCTTCAGACGAGCGAAGAACTCTGCAAGGCCCGAAAACACCACCGTGGTCCCTGACGTTTCATTCTCTACCAATGATTGATTAATCTCCGATGCTTGTTTTCTGCGTTTATAAATCACAAAAATGGCAAAACTAATTCCAACTAAGAGGAAACTGGTAAAAATTGGTACACCGACACTAATTCCAAAATTGATCGATGAAGGTGCCACGATCTGGTTAATAGAGCTGTTAACATGTACAACATCGAGTTCTTCTTTTGGTGTGGTTTTACTTAACGGAACGAAGACACCTGTAAAACATAATACATAGTTTTAATGTACCATCACCGTCTTTATTTACTGGCATATATTTAATTAAAAATAACGTTTTCAGTATTCTCTTTGTCAAGTTTTGTACCCAGCACACATCTAGATTCGATAGCCTTTGTTAATAAATCGAAACAATAAATTCTTAATTTGAATTGTTCGTAAGTTTATGATTACTGCGTGTTGTTTTTGTGTAAATTATGTGTGGTGCAGTCTCCCTGCACTTACTATTAGGAACCCATAGTTTATTATATTTACGCGATATCCAATCCTTTAATTTTACAAACCTTTACAGATAACACCAGCATCGTTTCGGTGTGAACAGTTATGAGCGGAATATCCATTGTGTGAACATTCATTAAAGCTATGCTCATTTCCCGAGCAACCGACATTCTGAAGCCATATGGGACCAGTTCCTTGTCCAAACTTTGCACTTGTTACCGCGATACCCGTATTAAAACCAATTTGTTTGCAGATCACAGTGGCGTCATCATCTGACCAATACTGATCGCATACTGTCCCCCACAAGTTTGGACCTTCTAGATAAACTTCAACCCTTCCATAGTTGGCGCCACCTCCTGACAGTCGAAGATTTGTTATTCCTTAAAGCACACAAAAGAAAAAAAGGCATTTTATTTACGCTCAATCATTTAAACGCTGAATAGTGATCTACCATGATGGTCTTGAAGGAATAAAATAAACAAATTAAGCTAAATCGAGTTGATATCCGTATAAGACTAATACTCCAGACGAAAATACCAGGACAGCATTTACACGATTTACCAATATACATACTTAATTTGGAACTGAAACAGCTAACTGCCAGTGGCCCGGTTGTACTCCTACAAGCTCGGGCGAAAATATTTTGTTGGTTTTCTCTGTTATTAAAACCATCATTGGTACATGTAAATAAAGTTGTCTCGTTGCCGAAGCAGCCCAATCTTGTAAACCAAAAAGGTGTATTATTGTCCGTCTGATATTTGATGCCTGACATCCGTATACCATCTACATATCCTAGTTGCCTACACGCCACTTGGGCTATTTTTTGATTCACAGCAACGTCACAAAATGCCCCCCATACACCATCATAACGAAATTCCACTCGACCCCTTTGTTTATCACTTCCCCCTACCAAACGATAATTCGCCCCTGAAAAGTAAATAAGTAAACATATAGTTACAATCCATTCCAAAAATACCACTTCAACCAACTGAAAAATCGAATGCGCCAACCGTTTTATCTTCTAGTGTGTTTCGATTAACATTGGCAGACCCACGACGCTATATTACATGATCATCTATGAATCTTTTAGCCAACGTCATTGGCGTGTGGGGAAGCAAAATTGATCTTGGCGTTACGTCTGACAAACAAATGGGAGATGTTTTTTTATACGGCGTTTTAAAGAGAGAGAGGAATGGGGTTTAACGTCCACTCGACTCAAACTAGGTCATTTCAGGACTAACATTTGGTTTAATTTTATTTACATAATTCGCTTGCGCGTAGGGGTCTTTAGCAGTGGGAGGAAACCGGAGGACCCGGAGAAAACCAACGAGGTTGGACAGGCGACCCTACTCCTTGCCACGTACAACCGGGGATTCGAAGCCACGCCAGTCGACTCAATGACAGACTTTATGATACAGCGCGCGCACGCTAACCATTCAGCCATCTCCCCCCCCCCCGGCGTTTTAAAGGGTATGCTTGTAAGACGTATGCATGCGTCTCAATCGTCCTTGTGGATTTAGATCACCTTATATCTGGGACCGGGTATTCAGATACTGAACATGTATATACATGCACTTAAAGTGCCAACGTTTCTATTAATCCGTTTAATAAGAAGAATATCAAGATGCAATTTCGGAATGTTTACATATGATTTATGGGAAAGGTAGAGTGAAACAATGATTGTACCACAATGCTTACCATCATTAATTTGGGAACATATAACACCAACTCTTGGAGCATAGAAATCACACCATTTAATTATACTCTTAGAGGTAAAGTAGCATTTGTTCAATGACTTCTCATTGCCAGAACACTTCACATCCGACATTAAAATCGGCAATTTGTTCATATTGGGCGTGTTGTAGAGTACACCTCCAGCAAATCCGAGTTGATTACAGGCAACATTTGCTACTTTATCGTCAGTTCCACTCGCGCATACACCACCTTCTACTCCGGCTATTGTAACCTTCAGCATACCACTCGATGATGATTTACTGTCCAATTCCAGTTTTACCTCGAAACCTAGCCGATAAGACACACATCAATGGTCAATGCATAGTACAAATCATGAACCATAATAAAAATGACGTAATATCTCATACTTTTAATGGATGCCAAGCACCAACTAAAATATGCAATATAGTACTCGTTTGAATTATATGTATGATCTGATATTGAATACAATTAGCCATTGCATAGTCAAGTTGGCAGCTACATTATGAACCTTAATAAAATGACATAATTATCATACCTTTAATGTATACCGAGCACCAGCTATGTTATATCGGACACTTTTTAATTATTATGTAAATCATCTGAAATCATATTTACCATACCTTTATCAACTATAGGTTTTTTACTACAATAAACAGAAGCATACGTTCCAGACGAACACTTGGTTGATGTCAATATATTTTTTTGACAAGTTGAAAAATTCGCTCCGTTCCATTTGCAACTGATGTTAAAGACATTAATTGGGCCCTCTGTAACCCCAAATTTTGATCCAGGTAAGTACATGCCATACTTAAACTGCATTGTCTTACAAATAACCAGTGCATTATTCGGTTCAAATCCATCATCACATACCGCTTTCCAACCACCCTTTTCGTAGATCTCGACAGCTCCCATGGACGCATGTAATCCTTGATTGAGCCGGACTGAAATAAATAGCACATTCAAAATTATATGTAAATCAGAATTGTTAATCTTTATCAATCGTAAGGACTATGGAGATAAAGTGAAGGTGAACTTACTAATATACCAGTAGATCGTGCTAACGATAAGCTTTAAATATGAAAATTATATGTAAATCAGAATTGTTAATCTTTATCAATCGTAACGACTATGGAGATAAAGTGAAGGTGTAATTACTAATATACCAGTAGATCGTGCTAACGATAAGCTTTAAATATGAATGTGGAACACGTTAAACGTTGGATGGTGAATGTCGTTACGGCGATATGGAGGTGATCTAATCTAATATGATGTAATTTAGTATGGGATGTTGATACTCAACAGATTCTCCTAAGCGAAGAGGGCTGTTGGGATGAAATTCTAAGATTGTAGTTATTTGGGCGGCCGCGAGTATGAGAGAAAAAATACTAACGTTCATCGATACAGTAAACAGCAGCATCGTCATTATGTGTTTTGCAGGGTATAAAGATGAAATAAGACCTAGCACTAGATACAGTTTCATTGTCGAATCCTCCATGTGGACATTTATGTAGATCTGATTCTGATCCATCACATCGCATTTTACTCAACCATATTGGCCCACTACCTCCACCATAGGCATCGTTAGAAACAACATAGCCACCAGAGAAACCCAGTTGACGACATATAACACCAGCCTCCCTGTTATCCCAATATAAATCACAAATGGTTCCCCAAATACCACCAACACTGATTTCTACCCTCCCCTGTTGATTATTAGGTCCATCAGTAAGTCTATATTTGATATCTAGATAAGAAAGATGGTAGTAAAGTACAAGTGACAGCAAATGAAATAACATGTAAGTAAAATATTAATACACTAGCGGTTTACCCGGCGTAGCACGGGTCAGATCTAAATATTAAGACCACCTTCACATTTCGTCGAGCTCACGATTGTTGCCAAGGATTATGGGTTAGGGCTTGGGTTATGGTATAGCCATGAACCGGAAGTAGCATAACTCGGAGGCCATAGCCACCAGGCCTATATTACTCCCTGGTCCGAGCGACGCCTATACACCAAATTTTAGCCTTGGGTCTGCCCGAGTGTAGCCACCAACCCTGAACAGACAGTCAAACAAACAAACGAAAGGCACAAATATTAGTATAGATGGGCGTGTGACACATTTGTGACTGTTGAAGAATCCACGAAATAAAACGTTCAAATATGATAGATTGCCTGGAATCTTGCGTTAAATTTTCAATTACCCTAAGTGATTGTATAAATTATGAATGATTAATATAAAAATATCTTACTAGAATTGCCCTTGAAACAAATAGCTGAAGCCAAATTAGCAGTTGAACAGTTCCCCAGATTTAATCTGTCGTTGAAGGGACAGTTTACTAATGATGGCTCTGTTCCCGAACATTTCATTGCACTCAACCAATAAGGCCTTGGGTACAAAACCAAATTGGCCATTTGAGGTGAATGGAAGGCTACACCATCCGTAAAACCATTCATTTTACAAAATACCTTAGCATCCGCATCATCCCAAAAGGTGTCACATATGTAACCTCTTTTACCATAGTGAAAGACGTCTATACTCCCAGAATTCGTTGACCCTTTGCTGAGTGAAAACTTGTATCCTTGAATGAAAGTGAAATAACCATTGATCAAAAACCCATATATACTGGAAATGGTTGTAATGGAAAGGAGCGGGGGGGGGGGGTGATAATTATACCTAATATACTGATCATTTAACCGCCCCCCCCCCAACCCGATGCACAACCCCAGAAAGTTCCCATCCCTATTTTGCCCACAAAAGGATACACAAAAGGTGTATACTGTCAAGTTACCGGTTTTTAATGATGCCGAGTCTGGTTATTAACTTCAAAATCATTTACAACAATTTAATATGGCGGATATTCAGAATGATGACCAATGGCTCATATTTTGTCTGAGCAAAATATGGCTTTATAATATGTCTTTTTATAGGTTTTTGATGCTACATAGTCGGAGTCTGACTTTTGATCATCCAATATGGCAGAAATTCAAGATGAAGGACACAAACATTGCCGCCATTTTGAACAAAGTCATACACATTCATGTATGTGTAATATGACTTCATATGATAACAACATCAAACATCTCAAACAGCTTAAAATGCCAATATGATGTAATGGTAATATCTGATTTACTTCCAAATGCAATCAGTGTAATCAGAGTATACTACTAGTGATGTTATCCTATGTGTAACCTCAAACCATGTATAGCTTATCGAAAACGTCAATCCGTACTTCAGCCAGGAAAGACCTAACAGCCCGACCGTGTGTGGAAACAGCAGGCTTTTCAAGTGGAAGATCTGGTCGGTCTACCTAGGTACCTTGAATTCTCTATGCCCATATTTTTGGTTGGAAATATTCCAATATTGGTATTCTAAGTGCTGAATTTTAGCCTTTTTATGTTAATAGTACACATCCTTTACTTGATTATATACGGTCTGGCAGGTGCACGTAGCGCCATTTTGAAGGAGGCGCCCTTGAGAGGTAATGGCAGCAAGACCATTTCCTGCGAAAATAAAAAAAAACTGACTAATTTGCATCAGTGAAAGCAAAGAAGGTGCTATTTCATGCAGTGCCATAATATGATACTTAAACGATTATCGTAATATTGTTGTGATATCTTTAAAAAAAAATGGATGTCAGATGTTTAGACAGGGCTCAATTCAAGTGCTTGCCGCAAGCGCTATTTTCCGCAGATACGCCACTGTATAATTATAAGTTGTACGAAATGGCGGCCATGTTTACGTCCGCCATCTTATATATCAGGACATATTATAAGCCATATATACAACATAAGCCCGGAGTTCAAACAAAATAAGGACCATATTGAATTTCCGTCATTTTTGATTTTCAAAAATAATTTTTCAAGTCAATATTCAGACCAGGCATCATCAAAAACTTAGACAAAGACACCATGCAAGTCACATTTTATATCCAAACAGCATTCGGTGGGCAAAAATTGGGGTGGGGACATGTACATGAATAGTACATCATACCCTATAATTTGAATAGGTCCTCAATGTACCAGCTGCTAAATTTTTGGATTAACAACGTCAACTAATCCTAATAGGAAGTGATTATTGGATTAAAATGCATATTACATGTTTAGCTAACCTCACCTTGTGCACAACACCCGTCACTATATAGCATTTGAACAAGTAATATATAAGAATTATCACATTCGTCAGAATAATTAACATTACCATATCCCGAAAATGTTTTACATACCCTCATCAATAACATCCGAGGCGTTAAAACAAGCAACAGACGCATATGCATTTGAAACACAGCGCTGGTGCTTTAAACAATTTAAAGAATGAGTCTCTGTTCCATGACAAATCATAGATGTATTAGCAAGGATGTGCTCATCATTATTTTGAGGGTGAATCTGACCGAAAGCAGAACAACATATAGCTTTTCCATCTTGAAAGCCCAAATCACGACACACTCTCCTGGCACTAATATCGGTAAACCCTACATCACAAACCATATTCCACTGGTTGTTGGTATAATATTCCACAGGTCCATCTTTAATTTTTGAGGAAAATCCCGTTGCTAATCGAACTAAAAGTAAATAACAAAAAGGTAGAGATAAGATTAGGAAGCCTAATGTCAAGAATGTTTTCATGACTTCCTGAAATACCAAAGGTTGAAGAGGTTTTGCATCAGTAAGTTAGAAAGAAGACATTTATCTATTATGTTACCACGTCCAGGCTTACCACGCAAAACTTGCGCTATATTTAATATGTAAGCAAACTCGCCGTTCAAAGGTTGAAGAGGTTTTGCATCAGCAATTATATCCAATATGTACCCAAACTCACCCTTTCCATAACACGCAACACCCGCATCCTGTCTGTGTTCCAGACAATAGAAATGTGAAGCTTTCTTCCATCCTCTGTGTGGACATTCTGATAGATTCGCTTCATCTCCACGACACGCAAATGATGTAGAAAATGTAGGACCAGTGGTATTTAAAAAGTTCACTCTTTGCACACGTCCAGCAGAGTAGCCAAGATTTCGACAGAAGACACTGGCTTCCCGATCATCAAAGTTATATCCACAAATAGAACCCCATTCTCCATTCACAGATACTTCAACCCTTCCTATATTTTCTTGTGGTCCACCAGCTATTCTATAGTATATACCTGAGTCACAAGAGATAAATATTGTTTGCTATGGTACTACTATGTGGGTAAATAAGATATTAAATGTTGACGATTCGAAACTACCTGAAAACATTTTTATTAATTTCCGATATACTTTAGTGAACCTCATTTTACAATCTACAACTTTAACCGTTGGCAGTACGTAGGATGTGAATCGGACAATAGCGGCGTGTTATGGGGGAAATGTTGCCCGGACATCGAATCCCAAATGTTACAGGTTCTATTACTTAATACGTCAATGTGTCCATGGGTCCTCCGTCCTGATCAGGGGAAACCATACAGGAAAATCCGTGCGACCTGTATCAGTAAATGCCAGGAGAGAACATGATACCTCCTGGTCAGCGAGCCACGACCTTAGGTTTTATTGTATAACATGTTCATATGACATATGTCACGTTGGCCACATTTACGGAATCTTCATTTTATTGGTTATCCCTTAAACAAACTCCCTATTTTTGACTTGATGTCAAGACTATATTTGTTTGTAGCATTTAACTCTTCAAATTAAATAGTTTTCTCTCTACTACATTTAACAAATAAATGCCAACATAAGCATCATTTTGAAAAATGTGCAATGATGTAGCAAATGATGGAATGAATTCAGCTCAATTTGAGAACAATTTACTTGGAGACATTTCCTTTTGGATCAGGGTACCGCATTTCTCGTTGTTTTCTATGGTCTAGTTTTAATAGCAATCCATTTTTTTAGTTCTATGATAAGACTTAGTACGTCTTCAATAACGTAGATTAAGAAAGAGTCTAAAATCATTATTTCTACTAACGAAATATCCGATATGACGAATTCTGTATCATCCCCTTTGCTAATTTTAATGCAGGAAATGGCACAAACATTTTAACACGGCTTGTGCTACAGTGATTATTGTTTTCAAAAATGCCAAAGTCCTGATAATGCAGTATATCTCGGTATAGAATTATATTTCTAACCAAATGCTTGAGCAATATATTGTTATATTATGCGAGATGGCATATAACCATAAAACTTACCTACATTATCTGAACAGAATATACCAGCTGATCTCATACTTGAACACCTGGTAACCCCACCAAGCGGCATGGACATAGCACACTCTGCAAGATTGCCCTCTGAACCATTACACGCCAATTTACTAATCCAGTAAGGTCCATTAGAAGAAAAATAATAATCAAATCGGACATGATTATAGGCTGTTCCATTTCTATAACCCAGTTCTCTACAAGCTACTCTAGCATCATTATCATCCCAATCATCAGAACAGATGCTACCAGGTGTACCCAAATAATTAACTATTACTTCTCCCGTATAATTATTACCACCACCGAGATTCCAAGTAAATGCTGGAATATATTAATATATGTACCAGTAAGACTACCGTTTGTGATAACAGTCGGTATCTGCTCGATTGTCTGGGAACCTTTTACGCGTGTATCTGGATTTGAACTATTTCAGATACTGAAATATGACAGACAAAGCTCTAGACAGATAAGATATAAGTAGCTTTGAATTCGGACTGCATACTGAAGGAGTACAATGATTACTGATACACTGAATGAGGGCAACAAAAACATAGTAGGCTGCAGGCAAATAAAATAACAAAAATAAGAAGACGTTTATAAAATGGCTGAGGGAAGGCACAAGACTATAAATTACAGTATGTCATTAGCTCTGTTATTCCACTTCTAAATTTGAAAACCGAAAAGTTCTGCCTTTTGATTGGGATGCCCCTTATACCCTAATGCACAATCTCACCAAGTTTTAAAAACTCCATCTAAACATATCCTTCGACATTAGGAATGTCCGCAAGAAATGGTTCAGTATTGACATTTACAAAATAAACAATCGAGACACAGGAATATTTGCGATATAATGACTAAATTTCATTATAATGTAAAAGAAATGAAATGAAATGGGGCTTAACGTCCTACTGTTCTGCTCGGACTGGGCTAATGGAGATGGTAATGTAAAAATGGGTCAAACTCTGACATGGCCAGTTCTAAAAATATCGAATCAGATTCTATTTACTTTTGTGCTAATCAGTTAATATGCCCTGACACTGCCGAATAGGAAAGACTAATTCATAAGATATCAATGCTGTATTAATAATTACTTGGCTGAAGGACAATTCGTCCATGAACAATTCATCCCAGGAAAATTTATCTGCGAACAACTCGTCCCAAAGGACAATTCATTCCTGGACAAATCGTCCCAGGACTATTCTTCCCCAGACAAATGAAGTGGGTTTTAACGTCCTACTGTTCTGCCCCGAACTGGGCTAATGAAAACGGACATACGCCATAAAATGTCCGGACAGCGGCACTACGCCTGACTCTTATATCGAATTCCAACAGTCAAGGGATCTTTTACGTCCACGCCAATGTGTACACGGGACCTCGGTTTTTCGTCCCAAGGACAAGGGAGAACCACTCCGGAAAATCTGGATGAACTTTCTCGGCCAATATAGGGATCGAACATCCAACCCTCCAGACTAGCGAGCCAGCATCTTACCCACTAATGCTGTATTCGTTACTCCTCGGTTTTATGGGAAATAAGACTAACGAAATGGAAACTAGCGTTCGTAACAAAAATTGGCTCGGAAGTCGTGATTTCTACTGTAGAACTCGGGCAGCTAAAACTATATCGAGTTCACGACATATGACGTAACAAGATGACAGCCCAAGTTACAAAGTTGAACGTTTTGAACGGTTATTATACTTTTTTTGAAGTTAAATGCTTGTTGTGGATGTGCATATCGATCTGAATACGTGATTTGTAGGATTTTACATATTGGGATACATTTTCTGAACAATGACAAGAAACACATTAAACAGAAAACTAGAAAAATACCCATACTCCTCGCAGTGTTTCGTTTAATTAGAGCTAATCCCACTACTCACTGCTGTAAAGAAAGCAAATTCTTGTTCTAAATTATGACTGGTCAATAGTTCGATTAACAACCAATAGCTAATTGCGTAACAATACCAAACAGAGCTCCAGATTTTTATTATGCCCAATTAACCAGTGCATAGCAGAATATTGCAGAAAAACTAATTGTGTGACAAACGAGGCTATCAACAAGAATATAATGTAAACAATATTGTTTTGAAACGAACAAAAAACACTTTCACCGTTTTTAATACCTTAAATTACTGTCTAAAGTTTTAGGGAAGACCCAGATTAAACAAAGGCCTGTCATGTTACTGTACCTGGGGATAGATTTGATTGAACGGGAAGAATAGACACACTCCCTCAAAAGCGCAAGTATCAGAAGCTAATCCAGCAATGGCCAGAGAGGGATTTCTCCATTATCAGTTTTGATGCTAGTTTTACATCGTTTTACGTTTAGTATTAAATCTAGACCTGAACCTAATGGTTCCTGAAGCGATAAATGATAGAAATAGCTTCTGCATAGTTATTGTTCCATCCTGGTGGCTTCATCACGATTGTTTCACTCAAACCACCTGTGGATAGCTTTTGCTAAACACCTTACAGTACTATAAAAATGATCATGTTTAAATGGTTTCCCACTATGGATTTAATTGATGTATGATTGAGAATTGAAAGGAATGCAGCCCCCACCCCCGACGCGCACCTCCACCGAAGGGTCTCACAATTGGCAGAACGAATTGTCTGGGTATGAGTTGTCTTGTGACAAGTTGTCCAGGGACGATCCATTGGCGAATTGTCCCGTACCGCATTAACTATTTATATGTACATATACTTGAACAACTTACCTTTCGATTTTTTCCCATTAAAGCAGATAACAGCCACACTATGTTGAAAACAGCTATGCGTCTGTGGATCTTCGTGGCTGCAGTCTACAAGGCGGCTTTCAGATCCTTTGCACTGCACATTTTCCATTATGGCGATTGGTTGATTGCCATACGCTGAACAACATGCACTCACCCCATTATCGTATCCCAATTCTTTACAGGCTACAGCTGTTTATATTATAATTTAAAATAAAAATGTAAATTTCATTAAATAACCCCAAGGTACTGGTAATTAGGATTGAACGGATGTAATGTTATTCCATGTGGCGATTTAAACGAACGATAATGATAAAAGTGGTGGAATGTGGTGATATAGTTTATGGAAGATGGTGGTGGACTTTGACATAAGATTTGGGACAATGTGGTGATCAACTCTATTACTACTAATACTAATAGATGCATTTATATCGCGCACAGCTTCCACACTCGGTATCCCCAGTGTTTTCATTCCGTTCTACTCCACTATACCCTGGGTTAATCCATAGGGTTTCCACGATTTCAAATTATCTGCCCTGGCCTTGATTGTAGATAAGGTCTTCGAACCAATCAAGAAACTGTTTACAAACCAGTCGTTTCGCCTTCGATTTTATAAGGGTAATTAACCAAATTCATGTCCATTTACTGAATGATTTATGTAAATAATGTATATATTTCTAATTCATTTATAATTAATCGTATTATCAATGACACCAAATTTATCTTAAAATATCTTGTCTTCGTTACCTACCTACTAGTTATTAGTTACGCTTCATATTTAAATGTTGTTGGGACACAGACATAACAATAACCAAATCTGAGTCAATAGTTATGGACTTGCGGTCATTTGGGGGTGTTGGCGGCCATTTTTGACATAATAAGCCAACATCATTTTTAATGATCTTAATGAGTTCTTTGCCCCCTTAAACCTAGGAATAGACACCAAGATCATCAAATTTGAGTTGATAGTTACATAATTGTGATCATTAAGACGTTTCGGTGGCCATCTTTGACGCCATCTTGAAAAAAAACCCACTTTTCCGGGGGTCCTACTTTGGTAAACTTTTAGTATGTTATAAAGTACACTAAACTCTACCAGAATCAGTTGAGAAACCTTTTGTAGCAATTTTTGGGGGGTTAAACTGTATTTTCACCTGACTAAAGTACATGTATACAAATAAAAACATCCAGGTACATATATGAATTTTATAAGGGTATAGCTCAATGCAGTAACCTGTGTACCAGTACCGTGGCTCCGGGCGTAACACATTCCACAAAGCCGGCTCAATGTGAACAAATTGTCTGTATTCAAAGGATCTGAGTTTATATTTAGGAACTATGAGATGTTGTTCACGTTTAGCATAATATTTCTGGTAGATAAAGGGATCATGTTCCGTTCAAAACGGTTAAAGCCAGACACAGGAGCTTAAAATCTATTTTGGGTTTAATGGAGCTCGTTGAGTGCTGGTGTAACACTGAAGTTCTTGTGTAAGTGACTGGTGATTCCAGATTAGGGTTTTAAACGACCTGGAGTTTTAATATCATCTTATAGGTTTTACCTGATAAGGGGCTATTACAAAAGCCTCGACAACACAAGAGATGAACAAGTATATGAGTTGCATTCATACATATGCGGTGACGACTGTTCCGATAATTTAATTGGTGTAATTTGATTTGCGTAGAAAATATTCGAAACTGGTAAAAGGTTGTGGCGAGAAAGGGTTGAAATTAGTGGTAGACTGGGATGAAATTATTGCAAGTCAAAGATGCTGAAAAACAAATGAAATTTACCACTTGGCTGAATATAGCTGATGGAAAATAAAAAAGGGACGAACTTGAAAAAATAAAATATAAATCTGCTAATTAACACACCTGTATTTTGATCCGACCAATTGTGATCACAAACAGTGCCCCATATACCATTAATGTTTACACCAATAGACCCAGCCGATATGTAATTACCATTTATCAAACGAACTAATATAAATAAACAAAATTATCTGTTGTCTTTAAATTGGGACACTTAAACAATTTCAAGTATTCTGTGGTTTGAATAACCGTGTAATGTTTACATGAACGTCATTAATGTTAAGTAAAGTATTATTTACAGTAACCAGAAAAGAAAATATAGGATACACACTTGTGTTGTGACAGATTACACCAGCATCAGCACACTGAGTCTTCTCTATTGGAGGATTCCACCAACTTTTACATTGATATAAAGACTCTTCAGTACCATCACACGAGCTTCTAGTTATCAAGGCGTTCTTATTGATCAATCCCTTTCAGTGATTAAATTGAAATTGTTACACAAATATAATCAAGGTACATATAATGCATAAAACAGTTAACGATTCATTTAATCATCGTCATAAAATTTGATGCAAACTTTAAAATGTGGAAGCTATACTCACATTTGAATAGTTCCCCCTTTTTGCAAAACCACTATGAAATCCTAATTGTTTACATGCTACGGTAGCATCGTTATTATCCCACATCCAATTACATACTCTGCCCCAAGTATTCCCAAATTTGAGTTCCAGGCGACCGTAGTTTCTGCCACCACCCAGTAGTCGAATTCCAGTTCCTTTAAATAATATACATGTATATTGTAAATAATAATATGTAACATTAATATGACTAATCTGAAAGTGATTTTTGAGGAATAATAACTAAATATTTTTCGGCTGAGAATGATAGTTGTTTAAAACATGTAAGGTATGTCTAAACATGATAAATAAATATTCCATGTAAATCAAATGCTGTCAACTCTTGAATTATCCCCAAAAACTGAATTTTGCTATTTTGGCAGAAATTACTATTTTGCTCATTTGGCTGTGCAGAAAATAATATGTACATGGAATAGGATTGTTGCCAAGATTTTGTCCAAAGTTTCGCTGTAAAAGAGAAATGTATATATAACAACATCTTTGTTAAGAGTATGTTATTTAAGAGTACAGAAGCATTGATTTTAAAATTATATCTTACCGCCTGAGTTGTAACACCTAATACCAGCAGCTCTACCAGATGTTAATGCACTTGGACATCCCTGAAAGCCTTTTCTATCTTGTGGACAATTTTCAAGCTTATGTTCTTTTCCAGTGCACGAAAAGTCAGCTGAAACCATAGGATTGAGAGATCCGGTTCTAGCAAACATCGTGACACCGCCAACCATGCCTAATTGTTTACATGCTACATTCGCATCCGCGTCCGTCCACCCTTTACTGCAGATGGGACCATAGAAACCATACTTGTTACCAAGAATAGTTCCATTATCGCCAGATGTATATTCAAATTTGATTTGTAGATCTGGAAAATTATATGCAGTTGCCTAAATTATTTTAGAGATATTTGGAGTAAACGAAAGTATGTTTATATTTAAATGTATACTGAAAAATAAAAGAGATACCGTGAATAAGTCAAATCTGCACATATATAAAGAAATGATGATTTTAGGTTAATGGTGTACAGCCGCTTTTTTACCTGATGGTACCATCTTTTTATAGGAACAATAAACAGAAACATATCTTCCCGTTGAACAAGGGCCATATTTTAAGGAACACTCTTCTAATCGTCGTTTAGATTCGGTACATTTGGTAACTGTTACATTTATCGGTGTATTGGATTTTCCTAAGACACTGCAGCACTGATGTATACCATCAATAAAACCAATTTGACGACAAACCACTCCAGCCGCCGTGTCATCAAAACCCTCATCACAAATAGCCGTCCACTTTTTGTTCACACGCATCTTCACCTGACCATATTCCAACCTCTTGTGGAAACCATCTATCTGAACTGCAAGAGTTATAAAATTTCTTCTTTATTCTAATATTGAGTATTCTTAAAAATCAAAAATTACCCAGATTTTAAATCTTAATCCATTTTCTTTCATTAAAATGGCTATACTGTTTGGTGGAAAGTAAAATCAAATGTTTCACTGAATTTTATGGTTAATTTATTTTGTGGAATGAAAAGCTGTTGAATTTTCGTCGATAGGGAAAGCTATTGTTCAGATACCCGAATTTGTGTTCCACTGTCAAGACTTTTAAACCAACCTTCTAGTTAACAAGCCTGCTTCCGCTTATCCCTTTGAAATAAAATAATGCATCAGATCAATCGTTTTAAAATTACCTGAACGAAAGCATTCCACATTAATACTCCTGCAGTGGTAGGATGTTCCCCATGAAATATTGCACTGATTTATACTGGATTCCGTGCCTTGACAGAACATCCCATTGACGTAGACAGGTCCTGTACCACCTACAGAAAGGGAGACATATCGACCGCTTGTATAATTCATTTGTCGACATGCAACATCCGCATTAAAGAAAAATCTCGAGAAATGTTTGTAGCTAACACACAGTCGACCCCAAACTCCATTTATTGCTATCTCAACTCGACCATGGCCCGTTACAGAATGTTTTCCCTTCAACCGCAACTGTAGCCCTTAAAAAAAATTGACAGTAATAGATATTCAAATGTACGTATTATCGTATATTCTGTGGGTTTATTTTAAATATTAAGATAAAAGTTCATCTATGATGAGTAATTAATAAAGAGCGACGGAGAAATGGGGTTTAATGTAGACTAGGTCAATTCGGGACTAGCATATCGTAAAAATGTTTTATACAACTCGCATGTTCGTAGGGGTCTTTATCAGTGGAAGGAAACCGCGATAACGGAAAATCTCCACCACATTGGTTAGGCAACCCTACTCCTTGTAACGTATAATCTGGGACTAGAACCCATGCCACTTGACTCAATGAAAACTTTATGATCTAAAGAGGGCGCGTCAGACCTCTCGACCCCCCGCCCCCATTCCCCTTCGTAATCAATAAAATCTCACCAGATGTTTGGTAACAATACACCGCGGCTTGGTAATAAAATGAACAATTTTGTAATCTCCCCCAGATTAAATTTGAACAATCCTTTAAGGTTGATTCTGTACCATTACACTGTATATTGGAAAGCCATCGCAAGGATTGTCTATCTCTGTGGGAAGCCGTTTGATTGTAAGAGAATCCATCATTGAAACCCTTCATCTTGCAGACCACTCTGGCATCATTATTGTCAAAGCCATGTGAACAGATGTAACCCCACTGTCCCATATATCTGACTTGAACAGCGCCCCTTGACGATGATTCTGTGTAACCAATTTTGACTTCCAAGCCTGGCGAGATAAGAAAACGAACTATGCTTTCTATTACAAGATAAACCTAGAAGATATCATGATTAACATTCGTGTGTGTGTATCTGATGCATAAAGACCAGTTATATAGAAATAATTGCTGGTTCATTATATATATAGCACGGGATGTCAACAATTGGTAGTTTGTAAACTCAACGTTATACAGTTGAAAGGAACCACACAGCAATATTAACTAGCTCAATTAATACGCCTATTGATTGAGGATTAGCATGGATTAACTCTTTCACACATGTCTGTTTTAATAATAGTTGTTCTTAAAAAAAACATTTGATTTCTTTATGTTGCTATTAATAAAGAAAATATATGACATATTTGTGCTTTAATCGTTTCATTTGTACCTCTTTATGTCACTTTCTAGTTGACTATATCTTACATACCTGAAGTTGGGGAAACGTCGGAGCAAACAACAGATGCATAATTTCTGCTAGAACAATACGTTAAGCTGGTCTCTGACGAACACTTCTTTATGGACAACTCTCTGCCAGAACACTGAACTCTGGTTATTCCTATATCTCCACTAATATATCCAAATGAAGAACAGCATATACTCTTCCCATACTGTTTTCCCAATTCCTTACACACGACAGTCGCATCTTTATCGTCAAACTCATCTGAGCAAACCTTAACGTATGAGCGTCGACTTGGGATGTATACCTGAACAGCTCCGTATTCTTTATAGGGTGAAAGTTTAACTAAAAAAGAAAAGAGGACGACTTGGGAATAGAGGTGTTAATCATTCTCTGATCTAGTTAGGTTAGCTATAGAAAGTGACAGGTATTGTGTACGCGGCATGGTATACATAAGACCAGACGAAAACATATGAAAAGTGTGGTTAGAAACTGGATATTAGGTTTTATACGGGGCAAACCTACAATGAAACATGATAGCAGGTGTTCATAAACAGGAAAATTTGCAATTATTGGACACTTTGTGGTTTCGTTTCTGATCCAGAACCCCCCCCCCCCCCAGTCGAGTTGAAGAATGCCATTGCATCTACAGATTATTCACTAAGTTTGTTTTAAACCATTTTTATACTATTACTTTTACTGATTACGAATATCCTTTGTGGTATACCATATCTCCCAATAGTCGTTACGCAGCCTATAAAACTTGCAGAAACCTAATTGTTTGGTGGGGTGGGGCAATGTTTTTATATGACGGCTTCCCATCAAATTGTAAGTTCGTTAATTAAATTATACCAATAGTCGTAAGCCAGCCACAGGATAAAGCCAGTACTAAAGGTGTAATAATGTATCTATACGCACCCATTCCTTCACAATTAACATGTACATCATAGTTTTTAGATTTGCAGGAGGAGGTGCTTTTATTAAATCCACCATTAGGGCAACTCCATATCGTGGTTTCGGTCCCAGTACACTTCGGATTATAAAGTAGACTAAATCCTGAGGATGTGTAATCGCTTCTTTTTCTGGCAACGTTTCCCCCTAAGAATCCCAGCTGTCTGCATATTACGTTGGTGGTTGCTAAAGGAGACTGAGGTGAACATATCGTCCCCCACTGGTTATTGAAGCCTATCTTAACAATACCCTGATTATTGGTAGCGCCCCCAGTCAGTTTTATCTTCAAACCTACAAAGAATGTAAAAAATATAGCCTATAAGAATAGCAATTTTAATCGTCATATAAACATAAACATCATGAAATGAGTTTTGTATTTGTTACCAGTTAAAAATCCTCTTGCTCTGCAGCACAGAAGCTCTAATTACTCGGGGCTGCGGTGCTCCAGAGTAATGGAACTCGCTTCCCAATAAGAATGCCCAGGGTTGAGATCCCGGGTTGGGCCGAGAAGAGTCTGGAATTTTTCAAGATCGATTCTCACTTGTCAGTGGTGGTTCTTTTGGGGCTTATGCCCCGCTTTCACATGGGCTACGAATGCCACGATATGCACCAAATAGTGGCGAATCGAAAGTAATCGAAATTCGTGGCGATTCGTCGAAAAAACCCTAAAAGACTTTAGAGGATAAGGATAGCTACGAAGCAGTTAAAAATAGTTTACGAAAGAGTTACGATAATTCGTGGGTAATCGGATGAAAAATATGCCATATGTCAAGGCACAATACCACCTCGCAATGATACCACTGGAATGAAAAATATTATTCGGTTGTAATTAAACTGACATAATACGTATGATTTTAAAATAAACCAACGGTTGCCAGGCAAGATACGTCCACATTTTGCAAGAGATGGATAGAGAACGAGCTAAAAAAAACCATCGATTTTTCGTACAATCAGGGGTCATAATCGAAGAAGTGGTCTGAAATACATAATTGTACACAATTTGTGTTAAAGTAGCGGCCATTTTGTCGGGCAGTTTCAGTCCGATTTTCACGAAATTCGAACTCAATCGTCATTAGAGTGTAACGGTGCTACATCTAAACGTTTTTGTAAAATCTGATAAAAGTGTGACCTCTATATGGTTCACAAGCTAAAAACGTGATTTTTCGTACAATCAGGGCCATAATCCAGGACGTTATAAACATACATTTCAAGTAGCATCAAAATCTACAACCTTGGTATTACATACTTTTACAATATTTGAGTGTAAGAAGTGGAGAGTTTGTATTGAACGTTCGGTAAATTTTTTACGAAATTCGAACTCAACCTTCATTGATGTGTAACGGTGATATATTTAAACATTTTTTTTTTAAATTGAATACCTACTGTGACTTCTAGCGGATCCACAAGCTAAAAAAAATGCGGTTTTTTCAAACAATCAGGGGCCATAATCCAGGGGAAGTTACGTTCGGATATGCGCGATTATCGAATGGAACCAAGACCTTTGCGATATAAACATAAATATAAAGTTTCATCAAAATCGGATCACTATTATGGCCTCTAGAGGGCCCACAACCTTGATATACCATATTTTTACACTATTTGCGTACGTGGGGCGGTCATTTTGGTCCGATTTTCACGAAATTCAAACTCAACCGCCATTAGGGTGTAACGTTGATATATTCAAACGGTTTTTTAAT